AATGTCCCAAGATCTTAAGCTTCAACATAACTTTTGTTTCACAGGAACAAGTCAAAAATAAAAATAAAAATTTTCCAAGAAATTTTCGTTTTTACGCGAAGAAGTTAATTCTAGAATGTGATATAGGTGTTTTTTTTTTTTTTAATTTTTGGTGCGGTACGTATTATGATTTTACTTTAAAGCATAAATATAACGTCTGATTTGAAAAGACGAAGAAGAATAATAAAAAAATTCTATATTAAATCAAAAATCAAGTCAATCAGAGTCATAAAAGTGATTATTTTTGAAATGCAGAACAGTGTTGGAAGCGGAAGTAAACTTAGCGCTCTTAAATATATTACTTGATACTCGGTTACATCATAACTTTGTAACTATCACAACGACAAAAAAAGCCAAACCGACAACAATTAATCTGCACAAATACGTTCGGTGTCCGACTCATCAATATTTCACGTTATTGGCGTGACCCTATTACGTATTTACAAGCACCCACAGAGCCACTAATATGCGCTAAAAAATATCACATCAAATAAGAACCATCCCAACGGGATAACACATATTTAAGCAAATAYGAGAACCCGCTACATTTTCCATGGAATACACAATAGGGCGTGAAGAGTGGGTTGTATACTGTTACAAGTAGGCATCAGACGTTGAGGAGCCGAAAAGGTAACGAGCCAATACGCCAGTTGGGCGTGAGGACGAGCGGATGGGCCAAAATGTATCGTTAAATGAGCGCAAAGGATAAGCACAACGACTTACATACATACATATGAGTGAGTGTATTAGTAAATATATTACAGAAAGCGATTTGTACATTATTTATGCGAAGCAAACAGAAAAATAAGTAGTAAAATGAGGAGTGAAAACGCCAATACCACAATCAAGCTGAAATTTAAGCCGAACGGCAAAAAAATGCGCACACAAAACAGAAATGAAACAAATAAACAGCGGCAGAAGAGGACCACTACTGCGGCCACTCGAGCGTTCATTCTCAAAAGGCAGTCACGATTGAGATTTTTTTSTTGTTGCTTTTTTCTTTTCTTCTTAATTGGAAAAGGAGGTGAAACGCTCGTAAAACAAAACAGAAATGTTGCGCTATAAAGGTTGCGTTGCGGTTGGCTGAATTGTGAAAAAATTAATACCTTTTAAATGGAACGAAGTGTTTGGAGCAAAAGCGACCAAAACGTAGGAGAATGTAGGGGATGAGATGGATTTGGTGAATCGATTTGCAATTCGCGCAACATAAAAACGCGCATAAAAAACGGTTAGTTTCATATGTAATACAAAATGAGAAGGATTCATAAAATGAAATATGATGCGTTAGATAAAATATTCGGAAAGTAGGACATGTAAAAAACTAAAAAAGAAAAAAAAAAAATTTGGTTAAAAATAATCACCTAAATATGAATTATGAAAATTAAAAACTATGGTAAAAGTTACTGTGACTAAACACAGCTAGTAATAAGTACCTTCACGAGTTGCCAATATGAAGAAAATAGCACTCAATGGAATACAAAATATCCTATGTGAGCTGTAAAGTTAATTGAGGCCGTACAGTTCCGTCGGCAAATGAATTCTTGTGAGACG